TAAATGGCTGGCAAGTTCTGGGTGAACATAAGATGGCATTTGTTTTGTAGGAAGTGGGATGATGAGAAGCAGCAGCTCTGGAACAACAGTCCTGGGTCTGAATTGGACTTTGACATTTTCACCTTTGTGACCTTGGGGAAGTTGGTTAATGTCACTGAGGCTTAGTTTCCCTTCTATTAAGTAAGAATAAATCTTTTCATACAGTTTTAAGAGGAACCAGTGGGTGTATATAAAGCTTTGTATATTATGGGACACATGGCAGGTGCTCAATAAATACCAGCTATTGTTGTGTGGGTATGGAATTTATAATGTGTATTACTTTTGTCCCCAGTAAACTTGTAAACTCTATGGAGGGTTCTAAAACAATAATTTGGGAAAAAAAAAGCAGTTGATCTAACAGTTTATCATCTGAACTAAAGAATTTCAGATCACCTATTTGGTGATCTAATTAGGAAACGAAGGCAGCCAGAATGTACCAAGGAAGACAGTAGGAGGTTGGCTTGCTCCGCATGCTCTTATTTCAGTTCCATTAATTGAATCCTTGACTGGGCAGGGTCTTCCATGTAATTTGTTGTCGTGGTTACAGTGTAAAGTTTTGGAAATTAGCAGGTGACCCTAAATCTTCAAAAGAGGATTGGCCTTATTTATATGAGTAATGTGTGTGGGAATTGTAGGTGTCACCCACCTTGTAAATATCAGAAGTGTGTCCAAAGTAAAGAAAATTAAGTACAGAAAAAGTGAAGTGAAAATTATGGGTCAATTAAGAGCTTTTTCTTTTTCTTTTTAAAATTAAAAAAAAATAGTGTAGATGGACATAATATTTTTATTTATTTATTTTTATGCGGGGCTGAGGATCGAATCCAGTGCCTCACGCATGCATGAGAGGCATGTGCTCTACCACTGAGCTACAACCCCAGCCCAAGTGCTCTCTTCTTAAATTTGTTTCTTTGAGTTCATTGCAGGTAGGACTATTATGATATGAAGTAGTTGTCCACGTTTTTAAAAAAGAACTTATGTACCCCTCCAGTGGACCAAGTATTTGGAAGGACTGGTTAAGAGGATCTAGCAGAAAAATAGGATTTGCCATAGAAATTACCCTACTCTGTTAACTCTGGACAATGTTCCATTGACTACCACTTGCTTTTCTCTTTTCAGAAGAGAATTCATGGAAGGGAAAATAAACTGTATAGGAAGGGTAAAAAAATGAAACTAACTAATATGATTCAGTGTTTCTTTATTATAAACTTTTTGCAGATTCCTTTTATTTCAGATTATTCCAGATTCCATTTTTTCCCTATGGATTTAAGATCATAAATTCACTTTTAAGTCTCACTGTTTGCTCAGATGGTTTTATATGTCTTTGATGTATAAGTGTCTCAATAGATTGAATTTTACAAAGAGGAATCTTCACTGCTGATGAACACACATTCACAATCCCACGTGTGCCCAGCTCTGGGCCAGACACTGTGGATGATACAAGAAGAGATCTTCTCGATCCAGGACTGTTCCCTGCCCTTAAAAACAAACAAATGACTCCTTCCCTCCTCTGGGCACTATCTGTGACTCTAATATCTTATCTTAACACATTCTTAGTCTAACACTTGGACCAGGAAGCTTGGGACATGGCTATTTATAAAGAAAGGATTACTCTTGTTTTTTTTTTTTTTGGGTATTTTAATATCTTTGGGCTCTATAAGCTTGGGAAACAAATCTGTCCTTATTTCTGATATCAGTTTTCCTGAAGTGACAAAGGTCTCATTTCTCTTTGTTGCTTTTGATTGTTGCAAATTTTCTGAAGCCCAAGGATATTTTAGTGCAATGTTAGCTGCAAATTAGATGACTCTTTCTCCTCCAACCAAAGAATGTAAGCACTGTGAATTCTACATCAGTACAATAAATGAACTCAAAGTTTGGGGAAGGAAAAAAAATTGGATTTTTATGTTTGATTTTGAGTTTAGTTTTTTTTTTTTTTTTTTTTTGTGAAAGGGTTAGGGTGTGCATAGGTCCTAGAACCTAGGACTGTCAGGTTCAAATCCTTATTTTGCACGTATTTGCTTTGTAGCTGGGAAAGTTACTGACTGCTCTGTGCCTCAATTTCTTTATCTGTAAAATGTTCATCTAAATGATGTTCATCTAAATGACATCTATCTCATAGGGCTGTTATAAGCCCCTTGTAGGGCGTGTGAGTAAGGGCTACTTATTTAAAACAATATACTAAGGAAATAAAGTATGTACAAACCCACTGAAACCAGGGTCACCTGAAATTGTTATCAAGTCTAATCCAGGCCTTTTTATTAGCAGTTTATTTTTAAACAACGTATATTCCCTTTATAATAAAATGAATGACAGGCTTCTGACACCAATGAAACATTTTGGATGGTTGCTGAGAGGCCACCCAGCAGTGATAAAGTATCTGTTTGTTTTTTCTGGAGAGAGATTTTCAAACAATAGTCATTTGGGAGTTCTAACAGGCATGGAAGTTACCATTGAAAAGGTGAATTTGACAAATGAATTATCATGGATCTGTTGATACATTGAGTAAATTGGATGTGATCTATTACTTTAGATAATGCAGTGATTGTGAGCTCAGCTGTGAAAATCACTGCCTGTAAAGACTTACCTGATTGCAATATTTCCCATCAGTTTCAATTTTTATATGTATGATTTTAGAAAATTGGCCTTTTAGTGTTCTGAAAAACCAAACCAAACCAAAACAAAAAAACTTTTGGGTCCCTATTTTGTATTCTTTTCATGATGTATTTAACCTGGTATTTGAGCTAAAAACAAGCAACAAAAAACTTTCCAATTTGACTTGTGATAAAAAGAAATAGTATTAATATGTATTTTCAAAACAGGCAATATATCATTCTGGGAATTTTCTTTTATATACTCAATTTCTGAGATAGTACTTTTCTTTTTCCCACAGCAATATGAAACTCTGTATGTGGACTATCCTTTACAGTTATAATTTTTCAATCAGAACTGATTAGATACTAAGAGAGACAAATGTACTGAACTTACAAATATATTATGTTGGATTACTAACAATAGACCTAATTGGTAAAAGTGACTTAATATATGTAGTGTTAATAGCTAAGCCTCTAAAGCCTCTAATCTCCCATGGAAATATTGCTTTGTAGAACAAAATCCAATGAGAAGTTCTGGGATTCCAGAGTGAATTTGTACATTCCTTAGGGGCATTTTTGCAAGGGAGGTTGTTGTGTTTTAAAGGTAGTTGATAAGAGACCTGCACCACCAACCCCAGACCTGCACCACCAACCACCATCATGCATTAGTCTATAGAAGGTATTTGGGTGTAYGTGCTTCTGTACCACTCGGTACCACCATTTAGCCAAGGGAAGTTTCTGACCATTTGCAGCATACATTATAAATCAGGATGTCACTACCAGACAATCAGATTTGAACATTCCATGAACAAAGTAGCCCATATTCCCTAGGAATAGATCACTTAACTATGTTTATGTCCTGTTGTTGATATGCCTGCATTTACCCAAGTCAGGATAACACATTGTTTATTTATTCTGGGAATATGTAATTGATGTGTATATTTACCTAATTTGGGGTTAATTAGCCAAAAATTGAAATGGGTAATTTAGCATGATTGCTTCAGTAAGGGGGGAAAATAAAATCATTCTTCCAACTCTGAAAATTACTCCCTATCCCTTGGGTTTGTGAAAGAATAATTTTGAGTCTTCTCCAAGTTGGGCTGGTTGTTGGCTGTTTTCTTTAAAAAAAAATTTGTACTTGGCACATAATGCTTGGGAAGTTCACTGGCCAGATATTTGGGGAAGCTTGGAGGATTTCCAATTGCCAAATTAGTTCCCTGGAGAGACCCAGGGAAATTGCAGGATATATTTGCTGAWTGAAATTAATTTGTTTAAGTCATGTTCTCTTTCTAATGTCAGTAGGGGATACTATTGCCACTTGGGGACGAGATAACCTTTGGTGCCAAGCTTGTACACTTATAGTTGGCTGCAGAATTTTTTTTTTTTGCCTTTAAACAAAGTATTCATTTGAAGAAATGAGCTTACAGACTTGACAATTTACAAATTCATTTAAAAAAGCCAGAATATTGATCTGAATTTAAGGATGAAGTGCTGATTTGAAAAATGTAAGGTGAGAAACTCAAAAAAGCACAGTCAAGCAGATCAAAAGTTAAACATGATGTTATCAACCAGAGATAACCACTGGTAACATTTTGATCTTTTTTGACATTTTTCTTTTTTCTGTATGTGACTTTGTTAGAGGTAAAATTTGCATCCTTGTCTTTGTTTACATTMCATTGTAAATATTTCTCCAAAAATAATTAGAAATTCTCATAACCATTTTCAAAAATTCATAGTAGGAGGCTTGAAATTTCTTTTATTATAAATAATGTGATAAAAATCTTTATATTTACTTAAATATTTGTCTAATTCTCTGGTTAGGTCCTGAGAAAAAAATACTTAGAAAAAAATTACTAAGGTAAAAAAGAGAACATTTTTTAAAAACAGGATGCACTTTGTCAAATTGGTCACATCAGGGTACAGTCTAATCAACTATATTATGAAAATGACCTTTCTTCAGACCTCCAAGGAAATTTTTTAAATATTATCAGATGGGGTAGAGAGGGAAGATGAGAGGGAAGGGGAGGGGGGATAGGAAAGGTAGCAGAATACAACAGTCACTAATATGGCATTATGTAAAAACGTGGATGTGTAACCGATGTGATTCTGCAATCTGTATTTGGGGTAAAAATGGGAGTTCATAACCCACTTGAATCAAATGTATGAAAGATGATATGTCATGAGCTTTGTAATGTTTTGAACAACCGATAAAAAAAAGTGTTTCCTAATTAAAAAAAATGTTTTGCATTTCTTTGGTTACTAATTAGTTTAATATTTTTTCATTTTTATCAAAAATTTGTATTTCTTTAATAAAATGTCTGAAGCTTTAAATTTTATTTTAAAACTGTTTTTTCTGTTTCTTGGGTATTATAGAATGTGACAGTGGGCATTTTCGCTGTGGAAATGGGCACTGTATCCCTGAAGCCTGGAGGTGTGATGGTACCGGGGACTGTTCGGACGACACAGATGAAGCTGGCTGCCGTAAGTGGGGAAGGACCAGGCTAAGCTCTTTTTGATGCTTTGTGTTGATTTCAGCCTATCAAAGAAAAGAGCTATGCTTAATGATAGATCCAGGGCTGGGCTCAAATCATTTGTAATCTGTATAACTGAAAAAGAGAATCCATGGTATTTCATGGTATTTCACTCCCTTTACCAAAGATGTTCAATTTACATCAGTTTCTATCTTACCCTTGTCCCATGGCCACAACTTTGATATGGAAATTGATTTTGCCATTAGTTTTTTGAAATCTATAAGTGACTGTTGCTGATCTATTCACTCTGGAAGTTTTTCAAATCAACAAAAATAAAAAAAAAATATGTTACCTGAAGTACTCTGATTTGTACTTCAATGAGGAGTCTATTCTTATATAAAAGATGTAATGTAGAGCTGGGCGTGGTGGTGCACACCTGTAATCCCAGTGACCTTGGATGCTGAGGCATGAGGATCACAAGTTTGAGGCCAGCCTCAGCAACTTAGTGAAACCCTGTTTCAAATTAATAATAAAAAAAATAAAAACAAATGTAGTGTAACTTGTGAATAAAGAAATAAAAAAGTGTTTAGTGTGATATTGTTTTTTAAAAATTCTAGTTAAAAATGTGATAAAGTAAATCCTAAATGTAAGTAATTATAAAATAACTTTTACATGTATTTATATAGCTTCCAAAATTATGCTGATGTGGCTTTTAGATTAGGAAAGTGAGCTCTAAAGAAGTTATTGCTTATTGTAGCCTCACAGTTGGCGAGTGCCTTGCACAAGACCCTGCCCTTCAGTCCACTGCTCTTTCTTACTTGGCTTAGGTGATCAATCACTCTGCTGTAATAGGTAAGCAGACACGGGTTATCATCCCATGACCAGGAAAGTAGGTGAAAAACCCTTGTTTTGAATTGTCCACATCCTGTGGGCACCCCAGAACTGCCAAACTTGGGTGTTTTGTTTGATGATGACTCATTTGAAAATGTCGGGAAGGGTAAGAAATTGGACCCATCCAGTGCTTCTCAAACTTTCAGGCACAAATGGATCACCTTGGAACTTGTGAAAGTGCATATTTTGACTCCATGTGTATGGGGTGGGACCAGAGATTCTCCACATCTCAAAGTTCCCAGCTGACACTTGATGCTCATACTTGGAATAGGAGAGCAGCTATTTTGTGGAGACATCATCCTGTGCTATCAGTTTGCTTCCTTTGGTCTTACTGAGTTCACTTTTTTTTTTTTTAAATAATATGAGCAAAAAGCTCAGAGGAAGCAAATTGAACAGTGTAATCTGGGATAGAGGAATAAAGGAAAAGTTATACCACCAAGTCTTCTGAGAGTGTTACTACATATCAAGGTCTTATGACAACAATACCAAAGACAAAGATGATAGCAACCAGCATCATATGGCACTTTTGGAGAAATTATTTATTTATTTTTTTACAATGAACTATGAGATAAGAATAGTCTCCATTTTATAATGCATGTAGTAAGGCTCAGAGAACTTGCCAAAGATCCTAAAGCAAATAAATTGTGGGAATAATGATTATTTGATTCTGGGTCTTCTTTTCCATATCTCATGGATTTTCTGGCTCATCATGATACTTCACTATTAGATGAAAAACATTTGTTTGAAAAACATTTCAAACAGTATAACAAACACTCATGGTTAATTTTGATTAAATTAATTTAATAATTTTGTCATATATTTGGTAAATGTATAGTTGGGCTATTTCTTTTATTGTTTTTTCTTTTTTTGCTACTGGGATCAAACCCAGGGTCTGCTGCATGCTAGGCAAGTGCTCTACCATGGAGCAACATCTCCAGTATTTTTAATTTTTTTTCTTTATTTTGAGGCAGGGTCTGAGTTAACCTGGAGCCCAGTAAATTGCTGAGGCTGGCCTGGAATTTGTGATCCTCTTTTCTCAGCTTCTCGGGTAGCTGGGATTACAGGAGTGTGCCACTGAGTCTGGCTATTCTCTGTTTTTATAATGTTTGGGTCAACAGTTTGTTTTGATGCCATTGATGAGATTATCTGAAAATGAACTTTAATAAAGTTCAGACTTCAAATATATTGAGCAGGACTTGACGTGTGTGTGTGTGTGTGTGTGTGTGTGTGTGTGTGTGTGAGTGTGTGATACTAGGGATTGAGTTTAGGGTGCTGAACCAATGAATTACTTCCCAATCCTTTTTATTTTTTTATTTTGAGACAATATCTTGCTGAATTGCTGAGACTGGCCTTGAACCTGTGAGCTTCTTGCTTCAGCCTCCCGAGTAGATGAAATTATAGAAGTGTGACACTGCCCCTGGTGACATAGTGTTTTGTTTTGTTTTTTGTTTTGGTAGTACTGAACATTGAACCCACAGTGCTCTACCACTGAATTATATTCCCAGACCTTTTTATTTTATTTTTGAGACAGGTCTCACTAAGTTGTCCAGGCTGGCCTTGAACTTCAGATCCTCCTGCCTCAGTCTCCCTAGTAGCTAGGATTATAGGCAGGTGCTGCCATGCTTGGTGACATATGGTCTTTTGCCGTAAGAATGTTTTTCTGGTATAATGGRACAGATGTTTGCCATAGTGAGTTCTTTTTTGGTTGTTTCAGCTCGTCAGTCCTGCCAGTCGGGTAATTTCCAGTGTGAGAGTGAAGGAAACTGCATCCCCCATATCTGGGTGTGTGACAATGAGGAGGACTGCTCGGATGGCTCAGATGAACATCAGCATTGCCGTATGTGTTTATCTTATTTTGTTTTTTTGGACATTTCAATTCTAATCTGTCACAGATAGGTTACACACAATGTGATGATTCTTTGTACATAAATACTGAGCTAGATATTAAGTGACCAGAGAACCTATGCCAGCAATTCAGAGGGTGAATGACATTGAAAAGGGTGAATGTACTAAAGACTTAGAAATATGTCCCAGCAATTTGGAACTGGGATAGGTTCCCAATCTTTAATTTGGTTTATATTATGTTCAAGTAAGAAAGAAAATATTTGCTCATTCGCATGGTTGGCAGTTGGATGAAATCCGTTTGCTCCAGGGGCCCTCTCTGCATTCAGTACTTTCACCTCTGTGRCCCAAGTATTAAACTCTCTTTTTTGGACTACTACAAGCTAGAGGCATTGTTGGTAGTGACTTCAGTGTTACTACATGGTATGAGCTGCCRCAAGAAAGAAAATATTAGCAATGAGTGGACCCTGGCAATGGGTGCATCCCTGGATAAGGCCCCACTATAATCTCATCATGCTCATGATTTCAGTGACCTTCTGTGGGCTGATGAGACCCAAATCCATGCCTATACTTTAGTCTTGTGGATTAAACTACTTTTTGAATATCTCCAAGGTGCMTCAAACAAAAGCTGCCTCAACTGAAACCAGTTGTCTTCCCCCACTGAACTGACTTTTCCCACTGTATTTGCTGGTCTATGTGCTTTATCTCTATTAATAGAAATAAAATTTAGCCCACTAGAAGTTACTGGAAGATAATACAAAATCAGAAGTAGCCTAATTGGGGCTCTTTTACTTGTTAACCTATACTTCATGAAATAYATTTCATAATGTAAGTATTTCATTACATAAAAATAATTTGTAAATGACATGAAAGAGGTAATCAATTCACATGGGAAGGTTATTACAACCCCCTTGGCGACCATGCTAGAAACTTGGAAGTTGTTCTTGATTCTTTCCTCTCCTTCACCGACTCCTGCCTAATTTACCTTATAAACATTTCTAAGGTTTCTTTCTTGTTTTCCATTATGTGACCACTCACTGTCAGCATCTCTCACCTGGATGGCTGCAACAGCCTCCGGATTGGCTTCTTTGCCTCCAGTCCTGTGCCCCGCTCAGGGTCTCCCCAACACTGATGAAAAGATCTAACCAAAACCCTTTGCCCACTCTCCATCACCTCCAGTTGTGATTCCTGTCTGGAAATGTCCATATGGGGCACYGTAGTGCTTGCAGTTTCCTGTTCCAGCCTTTTTCCTCCATTCCTCCTGCCTGAAGAATCATTGCTACATAGTCCTTGTTTCCTTTTGGTCTAGATTACTGCTACTTCTCCTTTAAAACCCAGCAGAGGTGTCCCTTCCTCAGGAAACTGTCCCAATCCCATGTTCCTGTCCCAGGGTAAATTTGGGACCCTTCTGTGATGCTTTTATAGTTCCTGTGATGTTTCTATAGTTCATGTAATTTACTTTCATAATTATTTTCTAATTATTTCTTAAAAGGCTCCCCCAGAAGACTATGAACTCCTTAAAGACAGGGATTGTGCCTAATTCATCTTTAGATTCTCAATGTTGGTGAACTTGGTGGCACCTAGTAGACCCTCAATAGATGTTTGTGTAATGAGCAAATAAAGCATTAGATCAGCTCATGGGATTATGTAATTTTTCTCTACATTTAATGAGCTTTTAATTACTCCCTCAAACTCTTTGAAATCTTAAGTCCAAAATATAGAATTATTTGGGCTTGATTTTAAGAAGAAAGCCATGATCATTAACATAATACTGGCACCTGCTTTAGTTTCTTTTCATACTTAAGACCACTCATAACCTACCTTTTCAGGAATAAAATAAATCTCTTTAATTTTATGTGACAATTGAAARTATATATTTAAATACATTATGTGGAAATATAATCTTTTAAACCTTATTCAAGGTAAAATAGTGTTTCTGTCRTGGGTAGAATTTAGACATTGAAGTGCCTTCTAGAAGAGTTTATCTATTCTGACCTTATTAATAAAAGTAAAATTTAGTCTTCAGATACTCAGTGATGGGAGAAAATATGAAATCTGTAAGCATTTCAGAAATAGGCAGACTGCAAAACATTTTATTTCCTATTCAAGAATTACATGACAAAAAAAAAAAAGAATTACATGACACATTCATGAGAAAGCAAATTGAAGGAAGGAACAAAGTGACAGGAAAGATACAATCAATTAAACATGGAAAGGGTTTTCAAAAAATATACATGAAATTCTGAATGTTTGAAATTTCAAGTATAAACTCTAAAGCTGTCATTTTTTACTTGTCTCTTAGAAAGGTTTTTCTAACAATTTTGATGGCATACAAATATATATATATATATATATATATATATATATATATATATATATATTTAACTATACAGAGGTATAGGAAGCTGTGTAAAATTCAGGCGAAAACCTCTTTCTTCCATTAGAGGATTACATTTTTTTTTTTTTTTTAGACAATCATGTTTCTCAAATGCTTCTCTTTTTATGTGGATAAGATAACGTTACCAAGTCTAGGTAGTTCCTGCCTGAGCTACAGAACACCTTTCCCTCATGCTTGCAGGCAACAATCATTCCATTTTATGTTTTGTCCAGAGACTCACTTGACAAACTGCTGATGCCCTGCTTTTACCTGAACTCATCGACATAGGATAAAATCAAACTAAAGATTTTTTTGTTCATAAAATTGACACATGGCCAATGTAGACACTTTATAAAACAGAAAACTGTAAAGAAAAAAGACCATAAAATCACTCATATTCCCACCATTCAGGAATAACCACTGTTGATCCTTTGACATATTTCCTTGTTCAAAAAAGGATTTCAGTGGGGGAGGGGTGCTTACCAATCCTTGCTTAATCCCTATGTCTTATTTCACTCATCATCTTTACCATGTATCTTTCCAGTATATATTGTATTCTCAGCACAGGTGGATCATGCACTTGTCTACACTAGGATGCTGGAGTGTCTTTTTTGTTCCGAGGGCATTTTGACAATATAATATCTTTGCTTTTGCATGGTAAGCTTAGCTTGGTGGTAGCAGGGTACTCTGCCTTGTATCCCTGTGAACTTTTATGCCCAGTATCTGCTCTGCTTTCCAACATCCTCATTCATATTTGGGAACTATCAGCCGGTTAGTTTGTGTCAGACTGTGATGATAAATTAAGTAATGTCTTTCCCCTTCACAGCTGGGAGGACATGCTCAAGCCATCAGTTGACGTGCTCCAACGGTGAGTGTGTTCCAAGGGAATACCTGTGCGACCATGTCAGAGACTGCTCAGATGGAACTGACGAGAGAGACTGCCGTGAGTCTGTTTCAGTCTTTGCACTGTATTTAGTTTCACCCTTGTCCCTTTGGCATTTTAATCAATTTGTTAGATTTGTTGATGGACAGAAATGCCTACAATACTCCTCTTGTTGTTGAAATCTCTTGGCAGATTCTTTTGTGGATTAAGGGTGATGTTCTGATAGGAGTCTATTTTTAACAAGACATTGTAAGTTTGTCCTGCCTTACTTAGCCCATCAAGTTTTTGCATGTTTTGAAGTAGGAAACTTTTAACATAGAATCTAGAAAGATGATTGAATATGCTGAGTATAAAATAGAATTTGGTCAATTTTAACTTTTATTACACTGCTATAGAAAATTGGTGGATACAGTTTCTCATTAATTTTTTTCCCGCTTTTGTGGATACTACATTTTCCAGATTATCTTTGGAAAGTATTATATTCTGAAAATGGCTTTCCTGGGCTGGGGTGTAGCTCCCCTCCCCGCCCCGCTTGGAAATGACAGGCAGAAGGAGAGCAAATGGTTTTCCCTATAATGGCAATATATCAGTTTGTAACTGATTGCCATAAGCTAAGGCATATAAGTTACAATATTCTGTGTGTAATACATAGATATTACCATAACCAAAGCAAGAAAATACAGACATGTTGCATTATGTACTAACAAGAGTCAACTGCCTCTCTTGAGGTTTATACCAAATTGTTAGAATGAATATAAAAATATAGAAATTAGCTACTGTGTCATTCTTTAATTTTTGAATGTAATGCTGGGGATTGAACCCAAGTCATTGTASATGCTAAGCAAATGCTCTGTCTTTGAGCTACATTCTCAGCCGTTTTTTAAATTTTGAGTTAGAGTCTGGTTAAATTGCCAACGTTGGCCTCAAACTTCCAATCTTCATGTCTCAACCTCCTGAGAGGCTGGGATTACAGTCGTGCACTACAGTACCTGATCTTGTGTCAGGTTTATAGTCAATCTAATTCTGTCTTTAACCTTAGAAATACCCAGTTTCTCTTAAAAATCTGCCATTGTGAATTTATCCATAACTTCCTTGAGTTTTTATACGTTTTCTTCCTGACATTATTTTTAGCATACTCTTGTGTAAGTTTATCACATGCTTCATGGAGATGCTTCCTTTGTTTTGCTCTTAAATTTATGTTTAAAGCTTCAAGGAAGCTTTTTTTGTCACTGTGACCAAAATACCTGACAAAAACAATATAGAGGAGGGAAAGTTTATTTTGGCTCACAGTTTCAGAGGTTCAGTCCATGATATGCTGACTCCATAGCTCTGGGCTATGGTGTGGTGGAGGAAAGCATCTCTGAACATGGCAACCAGGAAGCAGAAGGAGCTCTGCTCACCAGGGACAAAATATAAACCCCAAAAGCATACCCCCTATGATCTACTTCCTCTAGGCATACCCTACCACTCAGTCAATCCATATCAGTGGATTAATCCACTGATTAGGTTACATCTCTCATAATCCAGTCATTTCACTTCTGAAAATTCTTGTATTGTTTCACACATGAGCTATTGGTGGACACCTCAAATCTAAAACACAACATCAAGTATTCCAATAACTGGTGAACAGATTTTATGTATCTTAGAAACTTTGATCAAATGCTTCTCAGTTATTATGTATCCAGTGAATTTAAGTTTTAAGCTTTAGCCTGTTCTCATGGGATACCACCTCTACTGTTTGAAAATTTTGATTTAATTTTAGTTCTCTGGGCTCTCTCTAAGTCCCTTCCTTTGAGCCAAGTGGTATATTTTATGCCTCTTAATGAAAGGTCTATTTTCTATAATTTTTTTAAACTAATCTTTCCAACATGGTGCCATGTATAGGGTGGAAGCTTACATAAATTAACTATGGTAAGCAAGTTGCTTCTGTTAATGGAGGAAATATTTGTATATGAGAAATGGAAAGACCTGTGCCTGGGTTCAATCCCTAGAATCATACAAAAAAATAAGAAAGACACAGTAACTAATTCCTATATTTTTATATGTCCAGATTCATATTGAATATGAACCATTTCCACTCTTGTACAATTTTATTTTATTTTGTGTTGCAATGCTGGGAATCCAACCCAAGGTCTCATGTAGGCTAGGCAAGTGCTCTACCACTGAACTACACCTGAAACCCCACRCTTGGACATTTTAAAAACAATACTTCTCCAGTTTTTCTTCCATCAAATGTTACTTACTTCACTTATTTTTCTTTTTTTGAAAGAAAGGTCTGTGCTATTTATCTATTTTCTAGCAGAATTTCTGGTACTTTTATATTCTGGAATAATTTTCATTCTAAATGTTCTCTTTTGAAAGAGATTATGGTACCTACAATTTGAATTTCCCTTCACTTTGGAAATTATGCAGAGCATTTAGATCTTACACTAGTAGTTTTAGAGATGGTAGTGCACAGCCAGCACGCAAGTCAAGGACTCTCACGACTTTGTGAGGCAAACACTAGGTCTTTCACTGAGACAAGTGAAGAAAATATTTTTGATTAATTATGGTGATAAATCATATATTTTTGCAACATTTTGTAAATTTCAGGTCATTATATAAATTATTATTATTATTAGGTTCCTTAATGAGAACAATAAGGCAGGCAGTTATTTACGTTCTTATGAATAAAGAAATGAAAACTTCAAAGGGTCTAGACTGGCTCATTCAAGATTGTGTGGCAGAGTTGGTGCTTGGCTCATTGTCTGGTTTCATGTCTAGAGATTGCCCCTCATGAAGGACAGAAGAGGAGAGTCCTCCCTTATGCCAGTTTAAAAGAGTACTGGAGGCTTGTGTCACCCGCCAATAGCCTGTATCTTTATCCCTTATTTGCAAGTGGATAAAAATGAGTGCCTTATTGCAAATGCAATGGAAATGCTACTTTGGGGAAAATAAAAGGCAGCTGAAACAGACGGTTTGGACGTTTTCCATGAGCACCCTGCAGCCAAGTCTAAAGTTGCTAGTACAACTGCCTCACAACTTTGCCAATGGACCGTCTGGAAAAGCCTGGCAGGATATGAGCATGCAAGTAGCCCTGATAAAAGGAATGAAGGGAAGAAGCTGAGCTTTATAAAATAACCAAGTAGGAATTTTTAATCAAACATTTTTATTAAAAAAATAATTCAGTACAACTAATTGGTGAAATAAGAATTCGTTAAGAAAGACATCTGGATTTATAGCTGGTTCTTTCTGGAATCATGTAAATCATAAATTTTTCAGGACACAGCATGACCCTAAACACAAGTTTTTTTCCTTGTGGTACTGGGAATTGAACCAGGGACACTTACCACTAAGCTACATCCCTGCCCTTTATATTTTTAATTTTGAGACATGTTCTTGCTAAATCGCTGAGGCCAGCCTTGAACTTGTGACCCTCCTGCCTCAGCTTCCTTAGGGATAATCTTGGCTGGAATTATAGGCGTGTGCCTCCATGCCTGGCTCATATAAGGGATTTTGTGATGAGATCTTCTTTCCTATTTCCCCTCTACCTTATTTTTTTGTTTTTATTTTTTTTTATTTGTGGAAGAGTGTTAAAAACCCTCACACTTCGGAGGAAATTAAGAAAAGGATCTTCATACTTACTCATTAGTGCTTTGATCTGTTGATAGCCAGATAGACACAGAAGGACATGAATGGCCAGGATCAAAGTCCTTAGAAAGTGTCCGTATGGTGGTGGGGCAGGATTGGCTCTGTTTTGTTTTCCCTCTGTTTGAGGCCCTTGTGGAAAATGGGGAAGGGGACTGCCATTCACTAAGCACCAGTCACTATCCTGGGCACTTTTCTCATTGGCAGGTGTAATCTCCTGCTTTATGGAGATTATAAAGTTTACCAAGAAGCCAGGGCAGAGGAGTTGTAACATTAACCTACATTTAAACTGCYAGTGCTCCATGCTCTTAGAATACTTTTCTTTAATAAAAAACATTTATAAAATAGTTTTGCCTGAAGATTACTTAGCTATTTAAAAAAATTATTTTACTGTGGAGGTTTTAACATAGGAAAGCAGAATGAACTGTATAGTGAATCTCTTTCTACTTATCACTCAGTTATATCAATTATCAGTTCATGAATAGTCTCATTTTACCTACATCCATTTATTCTCCTTACACCATATTATGAGGCAATTCTCAGGATCATATAATTTTATCTGTTAATATTTTAGTATTTATCTGTATAATAAACAAAACCACAATATCATTATCATACCTAAAAAGTTAAAACAACTGTTCTTTAAAATAATTAGATATATAGTCAGTTTTTTAAAAAAATTCCCTAAATTGTCTTGCTATTATTTTTACAGTTTTGTTACTTAATTTAGAATCCAAATAAAATATTTATGTAGGAGGTAGTTGATATATTTCTTAAGAATTTTTATTTGGAGGTTTTTTTTCTATTTCTGTTCTTTACTCCTTACAATTGGTGAAAACAAAACAAAGCAAAACAGGTTACTTGTCTTGGTGTTTTCCACAATCTGGACTTTGCTTATTTCATCCTCAATGTCCTTTAACATGTTCTTCTCGCCTTTGAATTACCTGGAAATTGCCTAGATCTGAAATTACCTAGATGTCAACTGTAGCACTAATGACATTTGGGGCCAGATAAATTTTTATTATGCTGGGCTGTCTTGTGCATTATGGAATATCCAGCAGTATCCCTGGTCTCTGTGTATTTGAGTACCTCCCAGTTGTGACAACTAAAAAATGTCCTCAAATTTTGTCAAACATCTTTTGGCACAAAAATCACCTTCGTACTGCTTCAATTAAAATGACTAATCTAGAATATTCTGCTCTAATGCCATCCATTTCCATGCAAATTCCATGATTTTGTCATTTTTTAGTGCAGAGTAATACTCCATTGTGTATAAATGCCACATTTTTTAATCCATTCATCTATTGAAGATTAACATTAAACAGGGACGAGAGGTGGGAGGGAAAGGGAGAGAGAAGGGAAATTGCATGRAAATGGAAGGAGACCCTCATTGTTATACAAAATTACATATACGAGGAAGTGAGGGGAAAGGG